ACAAGTCGGTGTTCGAACAGCCTTCTGGAACGGATTATGGTCAAAAACCGAGGTATGACTGTACTATCATACAACTGTATGGTTTTAGGTATTTTATACAGAAGCTTCCTATTGCAGCTGACAATGTGCCATGTGAGTGAAGTCCGTAGGCATGACTGAAGAGTCATTTCGAACACTACTGTTTATTATCCCTTGGTAGAAGCAACCCCTTTCACAATTCAGTCTCTTGTTGATGGTATACAAATTGTAACTAACAGAACCTTCACACACACGTTGTCACGGTTCTGTTTTTGGTCTGGCCAGCAGGTGGCATGAGCGGACTTCTGGGTGCACACCTGCTGCCAATCCATTCATTATGGGTCTCGGTATTTAAGGACTCTTCCGCGGGTCACCTGTTGTCGGAGTATTGTTTATGCCTTGCTGTTTCCATGCTCATAGACCCTTTACTATTGATCTCGTCGTTATCGCTTTTTGAACTCTTGGTACCATTTATGGTGTAAGTATGGCTTTGTTTTGTGATTTGGCTTTTTCTTGCATGTAGTTGATTCATTGTTTTATTTGTTTGTATTCTCGGTTTTGGTTTTCATCTTTTGCCTTTTGTGCAAGCGCTTTTTGTTTTTCGTTTCCACTCTCGCGGCGCCATTTTGAAGTCAAAATAACAAAAATAACACAACACATGGGACACAAGACAGTCGTGCAATCTTCACCACTTTTCTGCATACACTTTGTTGTCTGAAGCAGTTATAGATGAAAGAGGAGAGGATCAAAGTGTCCTTTCACCAGTGGATCAGAGACATGCTGAAAATGTGCACACATCTGCTACAAGCTAAGTTTTCAAAGCAAACACGAAGCTGTAGCGTCCATTGACGAAAAGAGTTTTATAGTTCACTTCTCCTGTCCCACGTAATCCGCTTCAAACTCCAAGCCGCGACTCCCAGTTCCAAATTCGCATCGGCGCTCCGCGCTAACGCTCCTTTCTTCTTTCTTCTTTTTATGTTACTCTTTGTCGGTGCGATTTTTGTATTAAAACATTTGTGCTACGGAGACCTTGTTCACGTCTACACTTTTGGGATCCAAACTTAATTCAGCTTGCCCGAAACGTGACACACGTTCCGTCATTGATTATGTCTCATTGAGTTTTTCATCATTGTTTTTATCTGAATCTGTGTTGTCATTATTGTCAAATGATATGTGATAATGCATATACCGGTAGATGAATACATAAATGTACTTGTTTGTTTCAAATCATAAAAGTACACTGAGCCAGACATTCAGGCCTAGTTAAGATTAGCTGTGACTATTTCAAATATGCTACGAGTTGAAAGTGGCAGCATCATATCTGAACGCCATTTGATAAGTTGATTGTTTGAAATGAATAAAGGGGTTGAACATTCAATTTGTCAACTTTAGCATTTCTCTTGTGATTTGTGAATTCATACCACAGCACACGATGATGCAAACATGTATCGAGTTTCTTAAGAATGCAGTTGTATTTGTATCCTATTTAAACGACATGTTTCCAGCACCTGAGCTGCAGCAGTTTGAGTGTCACATTACTGAGCTGCAGCTGTCTGAAGACTAACCCTTCTGGTGCAACCATCCAAGGCCGTCCCCTCAGAGCTGGAGACAGGCTGAATACATGGTGATGACGCAACTAAATGGCAGGACTCATGTTTAGTCCATTTTGTCTGATTCACACCCTGCCTATCTGCTGATATTTTTTTTTTTTGCCTCCTTACCAACCCGACCGACTGACCTACCTACCGACCGACCTTCCTACCCATGTTTTCATCCAGTTAGGAGGGGTAGAAGGAGCATCCCAAAAAGAATTGCGGTCGACCAACCTCAAAGGCTCCCCTGTATGACAATCTCAATGATATGTTGGCAATAGGCTGGTGGTGTAATGTGGACACTATGTATAGTTGCCACACAGTTCAAAAGATTCACTTTTCAAACTGACTGAACAAATTACGCATAGGGGCACAGCACTGCTTGAATCCCATCACCAAGGGTGGGCCATAGGCGGCTGCGCCCGGCCACCAAGACGCTTGTGTTTCGCACCCCATTTGAGGCACGAATTTCTAAAAGTAAACGTTTTACTTTTATTATTTTATTTTAAACTTATAGCAGCCATTTTTGTCTGGTGAAATACTAATGTTGAGTTGCTTATCACTAAGAAATATACATAAACAGTGATGTCATTTTCATTTGATTGATGGAAAGTCTCTCTGTAACAGCCAATCATGTCGTTACTGAAAATAAGATGAGGTATGCATCTTTCACCCAAAAATATGTAATGCATATTACAATCAAAATATGACAAGCAATTTCAGATGTTTTTTCGCAGAAGCCTGCAGGTCTGACTGATCCACAGTGCTGCAGGCTTCACCTCCATGTAAGGTTCGCAAACCAAATGGAAGAGGCAGGACAGAGCCTTGTCTTAAATTTTAGTAGTCCCAAACTAAGTTTAGTTTGATGAAGTAATTAGGTTTATTCAAAATGTAGACAAAGGAGTAAAATATGTTCTATTTTCAATGTTATAATTTACACTGACAATGTGTATTCTGGTAATGAAGCTCTGAACCTCAAACATGTTTTGGAGACAGTGAGTCCTGGCAACGAAGATGACAATGTGTTAAAATTACGGACGATGACAGACATAAATAATTGATCTGTTACGTCACAAAGTCAGATATTGCTGTAAATGTTGCTGTTTTATTAGTATACTACTTTGAGAACTGTAATACTTTCATTCCCTCATCAGTGTTTTGTTGCTCTCGGCTCTGTGTGTTGTGCATTGTATGAGTATGGAAATCAAAGCAAGGTTCGCTCACGTTCAAGATGAAATTCATTCTTGTGTGATTGTTTTTGTTTTACCAGCGGTGTACTATGCAAACAGGTTTAAACCAGTACTTCCAACTCTGCCAGAGTGAGACACTTCCAAACAATAAGCTCCCTCCAGACTATATCTGTACATACTGTATACCACTGCCAAGTTCATTGTCTATATTTATTCTCTTAGCCAAGCAGCTGTTCAGTCATGCCGTCCTCTACAAGTAGAGGGGACAGCTATTCCCCAGACACACTAAGATGAGTAGGAGCGCTGCATGAACTTGTGGAATATCACTTTTTGTTTTAAGTCAATACGAAATTGTTGCAATGGCAGACAGTAACGGTCCCCCTCTATCGTCCTTCATCATGGATGAAGAAACTCTGAAGAGAAAACAGAAGGAGAAGTTAAAGAAACTGATGGCCACTGGCGGCAATCCGAGGCCTGCTCGCTCTCTCCTCTTCTTGACACTCAGGAATCCCTTCCGTCGGGCTTGCATCAGTATTGTGGAATGGAAGTATCCTCATTGAAAGGCAAATGGACCAAGCGAATATGATGACATCTAATTGCAGAAGTACAGTTGTGGAATGTAATTTGTATTTGCTGTCGTTGAATGCTAATCACTGATTGTTTAGAAGACGATAATGAACAGTAAAGGAAAAGAATGGTGCTCAGTAGTGGTTGGCATTTTCCTAGACATGACTTTCAGACCTTTTGAAATCATTATCCTTCTGGCCATTTTTGCCAATTGTGTGGCCCTCGCTGTGTATTTACCCATGCCTGAGGAAGACAGCAACATCACCAACAGCAATCTGGTGCGTCCGCTTGACAGCATGTATTTTTATGCTTGCTACATTATGTGTCTACTCTTTTATTCAAACAACTACAATCTTGTATGTGGCGTTCTTTTGCATACCCCATGTGGGGTTACTGTGATCATACCAGGATGATGTCTCCCGCTTTGTTCCGTCAGGTGAGATAGTTTTCATCTCTCACTCAACCCTGAACTCATCTCTAATTTACCTCAGGCTGTTAAAGTAGTGAGGGTGGCACGGTGATCGACTGCTTAGTATGTCGGCCTCGCGGTGCAAAGGTGCAGGGTTCGATTCTGGCTTCGGCTTTCCTGTGTGGGGTTTGCCTGCGTGGGTGTTCTCTGGGTATTCCGGTTTCCTCCCACATTCCAAAAACCTGCATGGCAGGATGATGGGACACACTGAAAGCAGTGGTTCTTAACCTGGGTTCGATCGAACCCTTGGGGTTCGGTGATTCGGTCTCAGGGGTTCGACAGAGTCTCTGCCATGGAGGATAAGACACACGCGACTCAACATGTTAATTAGTTATGACACGCCCACTTGGCCGTCACTGGCTGCAGATGATCACATGACATTGTTTGTCCAATCAGCGTTGTGGGAAATTTAGTTCGCTTCGTAGTCAACGTGTGACCGTCGTGATAGTACGTCGTTCAATTAAAAAGAAAAAAGGAAACTTATCCCTTAAAATTGTATTTATTTTTTCTGTTTCTAATATATGTGTTTTTTTTAGATATTGAATTTGTAATATATATATAAAAAAAAAAATCCTCGTCTCACCCCTTGGGTGGTGTCCATCCCTCATTCAGCTCGGGTCCTCTACCAGAGGCCAGGAAGCTTGAGGGTTCTGCGCAGTATCCTTGCTGTTCCCAGCACTGCACATTTCTGGACTGAGATGTCCGATGTTGTTCCCGGGATCTGTTGCAACCACTCATCTAGTTTGGGGGTCACTGCCCCGAGTGCTCCGACCACCACAGGCACGACTGTCACCTTTACCTTCCAGGCTCTCTCCAGCTCCTCTCTGAGCCCTTGGTATTTCTCGAGACGGTGAC